TACATGTACTCGTATACTTAAATTCGCTATGATTAGTTGAGTCGGCAATGATTCAACAGGTAGAAAACAAAAGCACATATTTATTTAATTTTTTCATGCAACTTAGAATAGCAAAAAAAGCTAACGGCCCACCTGATTGAAAGTAATAACCATCGTCTGTAGGCATGAACAATACCATGGACATAAAAAAGTATACTATGTCGCCTATAATTCATGCATTGTCGTTCCTGTGTAATAATAATACATATATAATTAATAAGAATATTATATAATATAGTGGAGCTTGGTATAGGTAAAATATTATTATGCGCATTTCCCTACTCTCAATCCCTGACTAATGAACAGAATAAGTTCATTTATAGTATAAATAATTTAATTTATTCGATGACATATCATTGTAATGATATATTTTATTTTGAAAGTAACAAATTTGTTACAAATTATTATATGACGGGAGGCAATTTTTATCTTCCTAAAAAACAAAAAAAGACTATTGCTAGTTTACTAGCGTATAACATTTATGATCCCATTATAAGTAGTATAACGGGTTTAATTAATAATATTAGTAATTATACTAATAATGTGACATGTGTTAATTTAAACTAACATCTACGACATTGGTTAAGCCACAGGATATGGTCATTATTCATCAAAATATTCGTGGCTTCTCCAGCAAAGAATTAGAATTAAGTCTTTTCTTAGAATCTAACAATGTACGGGTGTTATGTCTGACAGAACATTGGCTTAAACAATATGAAATAATTTGTCCTTTTGAACATTATAATATAGCTAGTTTTTTTGCTAGGAACAATGCCATTCATGGCGGGTCAATTATTATTTTAAAAAATGATGTAGAATATAAAAACCGTCAAGACATTGTAAATATTTCTATTGAGCAAACAATTGAACTATCTTGCGTAGAATTAGTTACTTGTATAATAATTTGCGTTTATCGTCCGCCATCGGCTTGTTTTGATTCTTTTGAACTGGCTATGGAGGAAGCATTGAGACGAGTCGCACGGAGGAATAAAACATTATTTGTATGTGGCGATTTTAATGTTGATTTATTATCGGAATGCTCAATAAGCTTAAGATTGATTAACTTATTTAAATCATTTAATTTGCACAATCTTTTTTTAGAACCCACTAGGGTCGCAGGAAATTCTGCCACTTGTATAGATAATGTTTTTTGTAATTGTGAAGTAAAGGTGAAAATGAATTTCGACTGTCTTGGATCTGATCATTACGGACAAAAAGTTATAATTGAAACTAAGGGATCCAAAGGGACTCAAACAATTACATGCAGACAAATAACACAAAAGAATTTGGCACGTTTTAAAAATAAAATTGAACATAAAATATCTAGTGTCATAGTACCTCAATATGACCCGGACATTGTATGTGAACATATTTTTAATTTAATTGAACATGAAGCTAGCAGTGAATTTAAAACAAAAACATTTTCAACTAGTGTAAAATCAAAGTTTTGTGACTGGGCCACGTTTGGTATTTATAAGTCTAGGGCTAATCTTTACGAACTTTACGAAAAACTGAATTTTCATTTAATGTTAGACATAGACACCTATATAAATATACATTGTAAATAAACTGGCTTTAAAAAAAAAAGTAATTCAATTGAGTTTCTTGCCAGTTCTTCTCAATTGGATCTATATACCGAACTGGACGGTAGGGTAAATATAAAATTATAATATAAAAATTTGACGTTCATAAGCGGCTAAAATGTCCTACATGAATAAATGATTTTTGAATTTGAATTTGAATTTGAATTTGAATAACATGTAAGTCACTTTCATTCGACTTTCCATTGTATGTTTATTTATATATTTTTTTTCATATAATGGCTTAATTTTCTGTCTGTACCTACATGATTCATATACCATTTCACTTTGTCACGCAGACCGAACAACGGGGCCTGTCTGCGTAATTATTCACTTTTACCAATTAGCTAGATACTAGTCTCTCATTCCAACATTTAGCAAGCTTTACGATGTTGTGAATTAGTGTTTTGTTCTATCTAATTGTATTCATTATATTTTTTTTTATGCAACATAAAATAACCAACAAGCTGACGGCTTGCATGATGGAAAGTGGTAACTGTCGCCTATAGATATAAACAGTAACATGGACATAATAAATCATATTGTGATACCCATGATACCCTTCATACGTTGCCATTCTCGTAATTTTATTACTATATCCTACCCTTCAAACCGGAACGCAGCCATGCAAACGCAACCGCTTCACGGTAGAAATACGAATGTAAAAGATGACTTTTATACAGTCTTATTTCTGGTAGTCGTTATAATGAGTTTTTTTTTTTTATATACACCTTCACTAGATCTCTTAAGATCTTAGATAAGGCTTAATTCAATGAAGATTTTCTTGTACATAATAATCTGAAAAGAATGTTTGTTGAATTTCTTGCGAATTCGTCTCAACAGATAACAACACCCCAAATCCTCCAGCAGTTTATTTAAATAAAGATTCTTTCTATATATATATATATATATATATATATATATATATATATATATATATATATATATATATATATATATATATATATATATATATATATATATATATATATATATATATATATATATATATATATATATATATATATATATATATATCATTCTTACGCTTCCCTAAGGTTGGCTGGAATAGAATGCTTTTAGCATTACATTAGACCTTACTAGATTCTGAAATTCTAGATTAAAATCGGAACTTGTAGGGCTGCTCTCCTACGTCCCACTACCTGACCTTCCCGTAACGCTACGCGATTCAGCTCGTCTCGTACTTAAGAATAAATAAATTTTGTTCAAAGTCCAACAAATAAATTAAACGTATGACAGCGATACCGTTATATAAAGTTTCACGCAGAAGTAGCCATGTGTAGATAAGTAGTTATATGTTTATTTCACGATTGTCATCAACTAATAATTTACAAACAATCTTAGAATACAATCTTCCCCAATCTAATGTGGCATCAACATGCGAACGTAAACGTAAGTCATTGTAGAAAAAAGGTCTGATATTATAGAAAAATAAGTACAAGGAAATTATGTTTTTATTTGGTACAAACTACGCGTGGATTTGAGGAGTAGGAAAACCAATGAAGGCCACCACGTCTAGATGCCATATCGAGATAAAAAAATATATTAGATTTTAGTTTCGACTTTTACAAACACAACTGTAAAAACCGCATTCAATTTGATGTAGTAGTTTTAGCGTGATGTCAGAACACTCATATAAACAAGCAGACAGACAAACAGACAAAATTTCTAAAAAATATAAATGGTAGGCTTTTATTATCCCTACCAAAATACGTATGCTAATTTTCTTTAAATATCTCCCACGTACAAACATCTTTTAGTTATAATTTTACTAGTATTATATTAGTAAGATAAAATATCGTGTGGTCCAGACATAGAATAGACCATCCCATCCTTTTCCGTGGGTGTCGTGCTTGGATACCTCTGTCCCATTTGTGTTTCTACCGTGAAACAGTTGTATTTGCATGGCTGTGTTTCGATTTGAAGGGTGGAATATGGCGTGAATTTACAGGGTACAGAGGAATAATACCTGAGTCCTCAGGAGTGGCAACGCATAGGGGATATCATGGGCGAAACAGTATACTCTGTTATGTCCATGGTACTACTCATGTCTATAGGCGACGGTTACCACTTTCCATTAGGTGGGCCGTCAGCTTGTTCGCTATTCTAAGTTATATAAAAAAAGGCAACCAAACGAACGAGTGGCAGCAGCGTCCCTCTTAAAACATCACCATAAGCCAAACTGCGGTTGCCAATCCGTCTGCTAAGCGTGGCAACAACTAGCAAAATCTCTCCAATGATAAACTGCCATAAGGAAAGAGAGCGTTCCCTATGGCAGTCTATGAGGGAGACCTATGTTCAGCAAGACAAAGTTAAAATGACTAAATGAAAAGATAAGATGGAATGGATAAATAAGCTAATCACGCGCCTGATGGAAAGTGAAATAACAGTATTATAGACATCACGGCTACACTATTCTTTTCTATTTGAAATACATTAATTCCTTAATAATTTATTGTCAAATTCACTATCTGACATTTATAGTAGGCAATTACGAACAAAACAATCGAATTAAAATCTATTATCCGGATAAAAAAATTGAAAAGTTACAAATGATTTATGTCACAGACTATGTCGATTGAAAATATACTACTGTACTCGTATTATGTACATGAAAGTTGGAAATATTTTATCAGTATTAACATAGATTTGAATCGAATTGAAATCGAATCGATTAATTCGGTTGTACATCGATAATTTTACCACGAAATATTGGCATTTGATAAGTTAAGGCAGTTTAAAATAGAATGTTTGTTATGTTTAACTTGAAAATGTCAATGATATTTGAAAATGTCATTTAATATAAATTTTATTTTTATTTTTTACTCGATTACATGTTTTAACGTAGCATTTTTAAGCCCTGTACTTTTGTAAAATTACTTAAATAGTGAGACAGTATTAGATTGATGCATAAATTTAATTTTTTTTTTATAATTTAAGTACAAAACTTGTTACAAAATAACTTACAATAACCTTAACGAAATTATATGATTTATCCAAATAGTTTTTAATTCATTTTCAGTAAAATAAGAATTATCACAATCAGTTAAACATTGGAGAACATATCGGATAACAAACCCTTTGCCAGAAACTTGTTGAAATTTCAAGATCGTCCTGGTTGTAATACGGTTATTTTATCTACATAATCGCATTAATATCCGCCTCCTAAAGCCTCTATTCATTATATTTCAAGTCGTGTCCTCATCACATTTGTTTTATAATAGCTTGACACGCTTCCACATAGCCTAGAGCAGATAAAGGGATAGTAGAATCTACAAAAGAGGTTTTTTTCTCTCAATGATGAGATGCCCTGTACCAGTTCTTATCAAATACATTTTATTGAAATAAATCAAACCATACCTTCATAGTCAGAAGACCCAATCCACCAATACCGGCAGCACCGACAGCCTTCGCGAACATCAGACCAAGTAGAGCTACGCCACCTCCTCCTCCGCCTTTGCCTCTTCCCGTCACTAGAAAACATAAGTCGATAAATAATCCGGCTCGAAGGATTATAAATTTAAAAATAATTTTAAACCTAAATAAGAATATATAAATTGTATATAAAATTATGAAAAAAAAATATGTTTTACTTATACATTTTTAAATTTGATTTTTGTTATATTTAAATAGCTGCATTATTTAAATAAAGTTTATAGCTAAAGCTAGTTTTCTGTACATACATTATGTCGTATCATTATTTTATATTATGAGGTCAAATAAAACTTAAAAAAATATAAAATGTTATTAGTCTAGTTTTGATCGTTACTAACCAAAATTAGAATATAAATATTCCAACTTTTGACAAATAAAAAATTTGTATTTGTAATTCAAATCTATGTTCAAGAAACTTAGACACTGGTAAATAGAAAAACCAAATTATTTGTAACATAATTAAAGTGTACATTATTATATAAGATTATAAAAAAATATAATTAATATAAAAAAATAGGTTAAAAATTTTATTTAATATAATTTTATTAGTTTTAATAATCTAATTAGTTATTGTCAAAAAAATAAAGTGTGTCAGTTAAATACACGATTTTATTTATTTTATAATTATATGAATAAATATATAAAAAATATTATATATTATATTAACTTTTGGCCCGCTACTTCGTACGTATGGATTTTAGAAATAGGGCTACCAATGATATATATCACTTCTTATTGGCGTATTAACGTGAAATATATTCAAAGTTTTAAGTTAAATCGCCAAGAAACATAATTATGAAAACGCGTTCAATTTGGTGCAGTAGGTATTTTTGGGTGATGCAGGAACAAACATATAGATAGACAGACAAAATTTCTAGTAATTTAAAGTTTTGGCTTCTGTTCCTTTTATTAAGACACATTATTATCATCATACGAGTATTTTTTTAAATATCTCCCATGTATAAACAGCACCTAGTTACAGTTTTATTAAGTTAGTGGATTATATAATTATAATATATATTATTGGCTATTTATATATCTAATTATGACATCATTAAATTAGCAGGATATAAGAAATATTTAAACATAAAACTAATATTATATCAATTGCTGAAAAAAATTAATATCAGACCAGAGGGAGACTTTGTACAAAAGTCGTTTGCTTGGGCACCTCTGTCCTAATCGTGCTTCTAATGTGAAACAGTTGTGTTTACATGGCTGTGTTTCGGTTTAAAGAGTAGAATATGGCAGTGAATTTACAGGGTACAGAGGTAAATAGGGCGGGGGTGGGGGGTCATGGGCGAAACAGTATACTCTGTTACGTCCATGGTACCTACTGCCCATGTCTATAGGCGACGGTTACCATTTTCCATCAGGTAGGCCGTCAGCTTGTTTGCCATTCTAAGTTGTATAAAAAAAAGAAAGAAAAAAAAACAAATTAGAAATGAAATATTTATGAAATCAAAGTCAGTTTTATGCTTAAAGAATAAAAGATCAGTATTTAATTATTGAACTTTAATACACTTAGATATATAGTGCAGAATAGATAGAAATAACCTATACTGCTAAAATTTCTATGAGTTTTGGTGTAAGCGTACTAAAAGAGGATGAAACATAATAAGCCGGGATAAAGAATCCCGGTCAGTGAATATATCCTAGTCACGTGGACGAAGGATATAACTGGTAACAAAATAAATATCAATTGGGGTTACGTAGATAAATATCAATGAAAATAACATAATGTGCGCAAAAACAGGCCTCAAGGTATTATAGAATCGTGTCACATTCAGAAAACTAGTCGAAGAAATTCAATAGATAGCATTGATCGAACACCGGAAGGTCTTCCGGTCTGGAGAACCCTCACGAATGGCTGATCTTGTAAAACATTAATTCAGATATTTTGGAGACATGCGTAGGAATATTTTGGCTCGAAATAGCTAGCTATTCTCTACGAATTTACTTTCGTAAATTAGGATAAAATTATTCCATACTAGGATTTACCTGCGACTTCGTCTGCGTGCTCTAGAATATTCAGTGATTGATGTAAAATGTAGCCTATATCCTTCTCCATCTCATATAGTACGTAATAAGAGGTAATAATTAAACAAATTCAAATAAACTCACTTTCACATTGATAACACGAGATTAGCAAGAATGTTAATGCAGGATATATTCTACCGGTCTATCAATTTCTTTCAAATCAGCAGCTTTACAAAATTTTTCAAATTTACAAAAGTTTAAAAAGAAGAGAACAAACACCCCGACATGTATCTTCTGAAGTTATTTTTGAAAGGTAATAGTTAATAAAAGGCGAAGCAGTATACTCTGTTATGTCCATGGTACATAACAGAGTCATGTAGTCATGTCTATAGGCGACGGTTACCATTTTTCATCAGGTCCATTCTAAGTTGCATAAAAAAAATTTTTTTAGTCTATTTATTGTTGACGACTGAATCACTCTTCAGTGCCGTCTTTTGGGTAAACTCATTAGGACAGCTTATCTATGGTATAAATCTGAAAATCTCTCAAATTTTTTATTGGACCAATTGGGAAAGAATATTATTAATAATAATATACTAACTATTTAATCCAATTACTCTATTTTTAACGTTATTACGTTCTTTTAAGATTTATTTGTATATAGTAAATATGTGTCATTCAACCCCGAGTAGGTACTTATTAAAGTTAGTAGATTTTCATCTTGAACATTAATATTCTTGTTATATCATCCGTTAATTGTCCATTTCTGAACATATATATATATATATATATATATAATTATTTATATATATATAACATTATTATATATATATAAATAATTACATATATATATAACATTATTTTTTGCTTATTCCAACTGTGCTTGCAACTTCGAGTAATTAGGAAAGCAGATATTCCCGAAATATAGAAGGAATTTTTATACTTTTTTTCTATGTTATTTTTTTACTTTCTGGAGATATAACTTTTCTGACTCGAAACTAAAAAAATCCCATAAATATAAAATTAAAGTCCGAGTATAAATTTAAGTAACTTTGTAGTTACATACGTACCTTACTTGATGGACATTTTGATAATAACATACGTGTATTATGTACGTACTTAGTACACTAAGTTAGTACATATATGTTATTAGATATACTTAAATAACGTTATATTATTCTCGGCAATAGAGTAATTACCTACATCAATAAGAAATAAGATATCCAGTTAGAGAGCCATTGATATAACCAACCACTCGTCTTGGTTTCGGTTAAAGACCTTACTATAATAATTTTAGGTTTCTATTTATTGTAAACAAGTGTATTGTCAATCAAATCAGTATTTTGACCCTAAGTTTTCCTATTTATTCGATAATACATGTATGTGTACAAGGCATAATTAATGCTAAAAGTATTCTCTTCCAGTCAAACTTAGTGTTACAATACTCGAATGCTATACTAGTAATAATTGATAAACATACATACTAAAATTTACATATATAGAATACATTTAGGGACTACAGTATGGGCTTCTTTGAAAAGGATAAATTAAGGTTTCTTCAGGGTCGGCAACGCGCACGTGACACTCCTAGTGTTATAGGCGTGCATAAGATACAATGATCGTTTACCATCAGACGGGCTATATACTTGTTTGCTACCTTTGTGGTATAAAAAATATATATAAACAAATAAATATATATAATTCATAAATATACTTACGCATATATGAAATATACTATAATATACACGAAGATGAGGATAATTACTGTTATAAACTTATCCCTAACCTAAACCTCATTTTTCATTTATATGAAGTCTGTCAGTATTTTATACCTAAACGATTTGAAGTATAAGGGCCGATTCTAAAGCTGCTTTTTTTTAAACTCATCTCCTGATTTAATATTATACTTTAATATGATAAATTAATAAAATTGCTGCCTTATGGACCATCATAAACTAATATTATGATAATTTTGACGTAAATCTATTAGAAAATCAGTTCATATTAATCCTTACAAATAAGATTTCGCTGTAATATTAAATGAAAATAGAGAAATACTGCCTCAAAATCGACCCTATTGTCATACTTGAGTATTGTACCAGGTTACACATGACTGTTATTTTATTTGTCTTAATTCTTAAGTTTTAATGCTAAATATTCATTTTTTGATGATATAAATTATTATAACATCAAAAAATGAATATGGCAGACAAACTGTCACTTGTATGCCAAGTTGCAAACTAGGCAGAGAGAACCCACCACCGAACGCCCTCTATCTCTACTTAATAGTTGTCCTTATACGAGTATATTTTCAAAAAGCCAGTACGTCTTAACAAAGTTTTGTTAACTCTTTTTTAAATTCACCTTTTTAATTTTACTACAGTATGTTGTTTTTTGTTATATGTAACTTTTTAATTAGTTCTAATATAAAACTGTGTAATAAATAATAATTCACTTGCACTATTTATTTATTTAAATAACTTTATTGACCATAAGAAAATATGGCACTAAATGCAGACTTATGTAAGTAGCACTCTGTGCCAGATACCCTTGTGCTATGCCTAATAGTTAAAAAATAAAATGAATTTAGAAACTTATCACTCACAAGGCATAGCCCACACTTATATAATTCTTATTAGTATTATTTAATGATTTCTTAATATATGCAAATTAATTTTATATTTTTTTTTTTATTAAATGTAATGATTTATAATATATATTTATTTATTAATAAAAACTGATTCGTGTCAAGCACGTTATTTTTTAATAATATGTTCAACATGTTTATTTACAATAAGCAAACCATGTTAGCCACTCACCTGTGTTATTTTTACTAGATTCATCCACGGTCTTCAACGATTCCGCCAAAATCCTCGTCAGTTTGTCTTTTTCGATCAATGTTGGTAATTTAACATGTAACTCGTGTCCTTGCAAAAACTTTGCCATCCGAAATAGTACCGAGTTCTCTCCGAACGATCTGCCTTCATCTTCCAAATTATTCACTGGTATACTAACTAACTTCACACCGTCAGCCAACTGTAGATCACCATCCAAGAAACCCCCTAAGACAGAAGAGGTAAACGCCAAGAAAACTGCCAGCCGAAACATTTTCTAAAGAAAGTCACTTGAGCAATAAGACAGAAAGGGAGATATAAGTGCTTTTATAGTGATAGCTTTCAAAAAAATGAACAAGAGTCGGCGCGATGGCTTTGCTGTGCGCTCAGTAAGTGGAAAAAAATTGGTCCATTCTCAATCGCGTTCGAGCGTTTGTAATTGTAACAAATGTCAACGATACTCAAATGTCAACAATATTGTTTGAATTGTTTCATTTTATTTTTATGGTATCGAAATTGAAATATTACGTTTACATAACTGGATAAATATAATAATAATATAGTATCTTACAGTCACACCAATTGCCTGATTCTCGAGCTCATATCTCAGAAAACCTTTATTATCATGAAAGTGCATTTGTTTGTTTAATACTCATAGGTGACAATGGTTCAACAAATCGTTATGAAATTTAATATTTGGCAAGTAGAATAAGTTATATTTCCTATCAATCAATATTATTTTTATATCACGAAGGTGGCATAAGTGCATGGCTAGTCTAAAGGTAAACGGTCACTGTAACCTTTAAAAGTTACGTGCGTTTTGTCGATTCTGAAGATAATTTAATACATCCCATACTGTACTCATAGTCTCAGATAGATTTATGAACTCAAATAGTCCTTACTGACATTAAGTGAAAGTAAGTTTGTTTGTTCTCTTCCTAATACTTACGTACTTTTTTATTTATTATTTACGTACTATTATTATGATTATGTACATATATATAAAGTCCTATAGTATACTCTTTATATATATATATATATATATATATATATTCGAAATCCACAATGTATTTATTATAATATTTTTTCAACAGACAACTACAGATTTTATTACAGTTAATTATTTATTAATAGGTACAATAAAATTAATATAGTTTATAGTAAAAAAGTAAATATTTTAGTTACACAATAACGTGTTAATTATTTACTGTGGCAAAACAAAATCATAATGGTGTAGGTTAAAAGAAAAAAAATACTTTAATTGAAATAAAAATTCTTAGATTGAAATAGACTTATACATAATAATAAATTTCTTTTATAATAAAATATGGAATATAATATTTTAAATATACGTAACAGCGTTTACTAATTTATTAAATTAATTAACTATTATAAAATTAACAACTATTTGCAGAATGACGCTGATCAAGATCGCGGCATTGAAACTACCTTATAAATAAAAGTAAAACAATAGTTTACACTTGTAGATATCTAGCTAAACTAACTAGAAGAGACACTTCAAGTAAACAGGTCCATTCATAAAGTAAGTAGTAAGGTTATACATTTCTGTTTAAGAAATTCAATTTTAGAAGCATTGTATAAAATATAATAAATTATATTGCTTCGTTATTGAATATCATACACATTGTTACAAAATTGTAACAGAAGTGATTGTATATTATTATTTATATTTATAAAATCATTTGTCTTGACTGACTATTAAGCACAGCTTAAAATTACCAAGTCTAGTAGTCTAGTCAAGTTTTACAATTTCCAAATTGTAAGTTTTTAGACTTGGTAGTTTTTATTTATTTTATTCTTAGCTGTAGTTACGTAAACTATTAGCTAAGAATTATTGTGAAATTTTCAATTAACTTAAAAGAGAGGGCCTATTTTATGAGCCCTTCCTCACATATCTAAAACATAACGTTAAATACGCTATGGTAACAAATGATAATTAAAGATTGTGTCCCATAATAAAAAAACTGACTTCAATTGTTACAAAACCAGTTATTTTGATTTAAAAAAGAAACTACTAAACCGCTTTAAAAAAATTCCGAACTAATAGAGTTATAGTAACAATCATAAAAAATGCAACCGAATTGAGAACCTTCTCCTTGTTAAAAATGTTTGAAGCTATGAGTTTTTTTTTTTTTTATAATAATATAAGTGTCATTTCATGTTTAGCTAATTCCACGTTTACGGTTTCAGACGGCAAAATAATGTTCAACGGGCGTTTTACGCCGTCGGCGAGAAGTAAACGTTTGCTTTTCTATTTGCAGCGACCAAACAGGTGAGAGTGTTAGGACTGAAAGTTTTAATCTCATAATAAGGGCCAGAAAAGAATGAACGTAACTGGCCACTTTTTTCTTTTTTTTTATCTACCATACTAAATTGTTTTTGACCGTGGTCTCCGGTTAGAAAAGTTTTCGTCAAAACTAAAATCTTTTATATTGCCATCTTAATGATTTGTATCACCATAATGTGTATTTCATACTATATTTGTCATGGGATTTATATTTTATTATATAATTATTTATATAATTATGTTTATAATTATTTAGTATATATATTTATTGTTAATTCTCCTTATTAATTAAAAACCCAAATGTTTCATACATCTATTTTAGCCATTAACGTGTTTAAAATTTATTTTGGGCATTTTTTGTATATATTTTTTTTCTTAGTTTATATTTTAGCAATTCTAATAATAATTTTCGATATGTATATAGTTTACTCTCGACTTTTTCGTATAATAATTACACCGTGGTTTATGTGACTCTGTTTTTTTTTATAAAACAAAAAGATATCATATTATTAGAGATTGAAATTTTGATAAATCGGTCTGTATAAATAATATTATAAATGTGACAATTTGAAGAGATGTTAGTGTATTTGTCCTGAAAATAACGATAGTTACAATATATATAAATCAATTAGGAGTCATACAATTTTCACTATTATAATATATTTATTAAACGAAGCTGACATTGGAGTAAGTACATTTTACAGTTATTGAATGCCATTACAGGTATTAATGTCTCAGATAGAAAACGCACGCAGGGAATTCTGGCATCTCATGAAGAGCAGAAAAAAAAAGACTTGTTTACAGATATTAAGAAGAGTAAGCTAGACGTTATTACAGAAATGTTTTGTTGGTATTAAATGGTAAGATTTCGCGCTGCATGCTTTATAGTTGTTTGCAGAAACCCTCAATATCGTGACACAATTTGTGTGATGCGGGTAGAAGAAAAAACTTCTGCCTCAGAAGTAGAGACATGACAGCACTACATTAGTCTATCCGTGACCACGGCCGGTGTAACATGGTTGAAACGTTGAGATAATTCAGGTAAAATATCATAGTTTACCTAAATAATGGTGATTTGTTGGATACTCAGTGAATTTTCTGTACTTATATAGCAGTAGCCTGTTTACATTGGATTTATATGCCATATATTCGTATGTTACTAGTAAACATTTTGATCGACTCTCTGAATGTAGCCTCAAAGGTTTGCTTTACTGTACTATAGTGATATTTTGTGTAAAGGTTTCCCTTTGACATCACATCTCTTCGATTCCTATACACTCGATACCTAGGATTCACTAAGACTGTTCTTGGTAATCCTTTAACGTAAATTGATAAAGATTCATGGGTACAATCCCGTTTATGATGACGAACTAAAGAAAGACAGATATATCTGTAATTTTTTTTTAATATAGGTATGTTTTTCTATACAGGAATTTTGTAGTGTAGATTAAAGTATTACACTTAAAAAATATTATTGTTATTAGTTTTTTCTTATTATAAATTCTTATAAAGTTATATTAGATATAGTTATTATGGCCATTCGCAATAGTCGACGATTTCACTTTATAAACACAAAATATAATCTAAGACACAAAATTATACATTCGAATCAGTCGCGTAACATGCGCTGAAATATAAAGTCTAATTATTAAACCACTTCTCTTTTTAAGTCGGTTAAAACACTAGAAAGTACCAATTCGCTGTTGATTCTTGTTATTAAAATAAGTTGCTTATTTCAAGAACGGCGGATTATCTAATCAGTACACATTAGTACGTGGCAACTACTGGTAACCCCCCCCCCCTCCTTATGGGGGGTACTTATGTTCAGCAGTGGACAGTTAACGGCTGATATGATGGTGCTAGTGAAAACCTTAGTTTATTAGACAAATAATAGGTTCAGAGTTTCTAAAAAATGGTGAACTTTTTCTTCACCACATAATTGCATCAATCGCCTGATCATCGAGCTTGGGTATCCTGTATTATAAGGAAATAGACTATAAACATTTATGGAACCCATTTAACTAGGGGGGGGGGGAGGGATTGTTAGTAGTAGTTTGTAACGGGTTCTAACAGCTTCATTGCTAACAATATACCCACCCAGTCAAGTTGACCTCGCTACTCTCTCTGAAAACTTGCATATCATGCATTAAAAAATGGCACTTTTTAATGCATGATAATGGAATAGTAACCCCACCTGCGCTATTGGTATACACTGACGAAGTACCAGTGAGGGATGACAGGTGAAGAGGAAGCAGGTTAATTAGCCCACCGTGACGAATCTAAGAATAAACCAATCAAGATTGTTTCCAGGGGGAACCACGGTGAGGTCGACCTGATATAGTATATTGCTAGCAATAGTGCTATTTATCTCCATTTGAAAACGTGGTTAATTATTGTCAAATTTGTGGCCTAACTGGCTTGCTGTTATCCTCACCTATCACCTCTCACTGGTGCTCCAGCAAAGTACACTTAGTACTACAGAGAACAGTAGCAACAGGTGAGGTTACCATTAAAAAAAATTACTCCATTTATTACATTCTAGGCCTAATTAATATAAGTTTCGTTTCTTTTTTAAATTTTATAATATAAGATTCATCATCATCATCTTCCTACCCTTATTCCAATTATTATTTGGGATCGGCGTAATATGTTTTCCTCTTCCATTCTTTTCTATTCCCAGTCATTTCCGCATTCACTCCCATTCTGGCCATATCGTCCCTCACACAATCCATCCATGTCTTTTTAGGTCTTCCTCTGCTCTTATAGCCATCTACATTCATTCTTAATACTTTTTTTTTAATTTATTTTTATAATTTTTATAATTTATATCATTTAAATTAAATAATATAACAAAGTATATTATTTAATTAAAACTTATTTCCAGATATAAAATTTAAATGGCCTTAATTACTATAATATTTATCAATAGATCAATGCACATTGATTGCAAGAAAAAACATTTTAATCGGTAAA